AGTGAGGTGTGTAGCCCAGGAGGCAATGCCCACAGGGCTCAGCACCATCTCCCTAGGCAATGGGGGAAAAAAAAAAAAAAAAAAAAAAAGGGGGGGGGGGGGGGAGCGGATTTCAAGTTCAGAATAAAAGCCTGACTCCTGCTTTTTTCGCAGTGCCTGCAGGTGCAAACATCCATTTTAAACAAAAATCTGTAGGCAGGAGCAGTGTGCAGCTGTTTGTTTAAATATCCCTACGTGTGTTTGTGTTGTCAGGGAAAAAGGTATGCTGCTGAGAAGCTCCTGAATGGCTCTTTTTTTTTTTTTTTAAGTATAACTAAATTTGGCAATAGCAGCTATACAAATTCCCCTGTACGCGCTCTCAGATATCGCAAATATACAGGGATCTGGAGTATGGTGTGGAGAGCGTAGCAACATACCTAGCAACCATAACAAATAAAAATGTTGTGGTTCAGCTCTTCATTAAAGCCTATAACAGGATTAATAAGTGTTTTGGCGTGTGTGTTTGTGCTTTTGCTTCAACAAGGATTCGAACCGCGATACAAATCTGTGGGGTGGGAGGAGACACGGCAGCACTGATGGATGTGCCGTGCACCAAGCACGGACTTCTCAGGGATGCTAGCTAGGTACTAAATTCAGATTTTAACCTGCGGTTGAAAATAACCTCACATGTGTGTGTTAAAGAGATAATTAATCATTCTTTTGTTTGCAGGGATGTATCTCCTTAAACCAAAGGCGAGGAGAAGCACAGGGAAGCTCAGGACTTCGGATGCTCAGCAGGGAAAGGCCCATCAGGAATGCACTTTGGAAGCAGGAGGATGGCTAGGAGGAGAAAACAGGACATGAAGCTGTGGTCACGTCCTCTGACCCCTACCTAAGGTTGGGGCTCGTCTCCCCTCATGAGGTGAAGAGGAAAGGGAGCGCTTTCCCACGCAGACCTTGGAAATTCAAAGGTGCTGTATTTCTCTCCTGGCACCTCAGCAGGCGCTGCGTTGCCTCCCTCCAAGGCCACCTCCTCGTGAAGTCTTCAGCCTTTGCATCCTCACCTCCCAGCCATTTGGGGTGAGAGACTGTGGCTTTGGGGCTCGGGCAGTGCAGCCAACCCATCCCAGGGCACACAGAGCACATCTGGAGGCAGCTGTACCGGGGACCGCCTGCCTTCAGCCTGCAGAAGGGGAGCAGAGGCAAACCAGCTATTTGGGGGGCTCCAAAATATTATTATCCCAAAGAGAAGTTGTATTTACCAGGGCCAGAAGAGCCTCTCTCTGCACATTCCAGGCTCGGGAAGTCTGCAAGATGCCGGAGCGGCCGCTCTGGGAGGGGAAAAAAAATCTCCTTTAGTCAGCTCAAATGCTGGCCAGAGGTTTGCAGCCCAGTCCAGACACTGGAGAGCCGACCTTAAACGTTTCTGGGGCTGAAAGGGAGATCTGCAGCCAGCTAATGCTGGGAGAGACGGCGGCTGAGCTTCCCAGCTCCAGTCCTGGCCCTCGAGGCAGGCGAGAAGCGGCTGGGAGGACGGGCATGGCTTCGCAAGCCCCGGCGGCATGCCAGCCCATCCCAGAGAGGGGAAACCAGTTCACCCTGGCCTCGGGAATTAGGAAAATGTTGTCAGTTCGGGGCTGTGCTGCGAGGAAAAGTCTCCAATGCAAAGGTCCAAGCACCCGTCTCCAGCCTCGTTAGCTGGTTAAAAGCATCAGATGGAAACTATGCTGCCCCGTCAGAAACTTATCCTCTTACGGACTCCTTGTTTTTTGGCTCCCAGAGCCTGGCAAGGCGGCAGGAGCAGGGGAAAGTGTCGTCAGTGTGAGGATGGTGAAACACATCATTCACCCTGTCAGAGGTACCGCTGCAAGGAATGGGTGACGGAGGCAGCAGAGGTAAGGCACCAGGAGCTTCTTCTGGCACGTCCCCAGCGTCCTTCTCTGCATCTCTTGGAGGAGCACATACCCAAGCACAGGGATCTCTTTATCACCCCTAAAACACGGTAACAGCCTGTTGCAGAAGCACATCCAACCAGGCTGGGCAACCACAGCCAGGCAGACCCTGCTCCGGCAAGCCACAGGCTCTGCGCTACCCGCTCTGTAGCCTTCTTTCTCCTAACTTTGTTTTCTTTCCCCAAAGCTGTCTGTCCATCTTCAGCTTTTCCTAAAAAATAAAACTAAATTAAATAAAATATTCTTTCTCATTTCAGCTCAGCTCCTTTCCTGTTACGGCTTTTGTCTTGCAGCAGCGATTTTCAGTGGCATACAAGGACGCAGCCAGCAGCCCCCGCAGCGCTGCTCTCTTATCTAAGGCGCTAATTTAAAACACACGCCGAGCTGGGTTCATGGGGAAAACTGCTCCCTTTCCTGGACAAAAAGCGACTTGGCCAGGGGCCGGGTAGCTCTGAGGAAAACCTCGTCGCCTGCTGCTCAGGGCATCCCAGCATGCAGGCGCACGGTGGAGCGGTCCAGCAGCGTGTCCTGCCCATTCCCCGTCCTTCCTCTGACGATGCTCCGATTGTAGCCCCAGCTGTGCACTAAGCTGGCACGTGCAGGATTTCACCCTCAGCATCCCGGCATGGGGGGGAAGGTAAGGGTGGGTTTCCCCAGACATACCCCCACGGATTCTCCATGTGTTTTTCTTGTCCCCGCTATCCTGGGACCCTTTGGGCTACATTTGGCAGAGTCCTGTACGTCTGCGGGTGCGTCTGCCTCTACTTCTGCTTTTACGCCACGGAGCTTTAAAGGACATTTCCCCCCCAGGCAGGCTTCATCTCTCCCTGTGCATGCTGAGGAAATAAAACCAGGCATGTCCCCTGCCACCCATATGGCAACCCGGTTTCTCTTGCAGCACAACCTCCTGCAGGGCCTTCCTAGGCCAGGTCCAAAAAGCTTTCTCCTTGCCTGTGCTGAGGCCAGCTGTGGGGTGACACCCCCTCCACACCACCCCACAATTAACGGGGTGTCCTAAGTGGGATAGGTTGGTCCTCCTGCCTTGGGAGAGGAGAAGACGTCTCAGCCCCCTTTGAGGGACGCAGCACTGAGCGGCCCCACCAGCCACTTCTTTCTCCTCTCCTGACGGTCCTCCTGGGCTTTGTTTTCCTGCAGCTGGGGGCTTTCCCTGCGGATCCCCACCACCCCACTAAAGGTGGGCAACCCCTGGGTCTGCTGCTCTGCAGGCACCTGTGCTCCCACTTGGAGCTGGGCCATCCCTCTCTACCACCACCCGCTTTTGAAAGCAGCTACACTTTCAGAAAAGCACTTTAATGTTTTGGGGTTTTTTTTTAAGCCCTTGGGTGGAGGAGTAAGCCTGCTGGGTTTTCATCTCCCTCCCCCAGTGCAACCCTGGGATGCATTTCCCTGCCCAGGTCTGCCGTCCAGCCAGAGCGATTGCCAACCCAAACATCCTCCATCTGCCGTGCCCGGGCTCCGGCAGCCCCGCTCCGACAGCGGCAAGGAGCAAGCACTGAATGTCCCTCCTTGTTCTGCGGGGAGAGGTCCTGCCCCCTTCCTGAGGTCCCACGGAAAAGCCATACCCCCCCAAAAAAAATCTGGGAGTTCCATCCCCCAAAGGATGAGGCACAGATCGGTCTTTTCAAGTCTCTTCCCCTGGGCCACGGAGTGGGAAGGATTTTAGTGGGTGCAGCTCAGCCCCCCACCGGGACTCTGCCCTGCTGCCTTTTTGGGGGGGGCAGCAGCAGGCTCCTCTTCCTTGAGGTCTCTGGAGGGTGCTCAGGGATGAGCTGCCCTGCTACCAGCCAGCCCCTTCCAAGCAAAATAAAAAAATAAAACTAATGGCGGCAGGTTCTTGCCCCACAGACCCTGAGCCCCACCTGGACAGCTCTGGGTGAGCATCGCCCCCCTCGGCCGCATGTGCATCAGGTACTTTATTCTGCTCTGCACCTTCTCAGAGGCTATATCATCATTTAATTGTACTAAAACCAGCATAATGGAGAAACATGCATAACGTCGGGGTTTTGTGGTTAACATGTACAAGCGCTGCACTGAGGAACAGGTACCGAGGGGGAATGATGCGAGACCGGGGAGGTGTGTGTCCCCTGCCCCGGCACGCGTTACAGTCAAACCCCAGCTATTCCTGGACCTGCTTACACACAGTGGGGTGGAGGCCGTGGCTGACTGAAAAAATGAGATATTCACCCCTCGAGCTCCCTCAATGTGAGCACCAAGCGCAGCCGAAGCCCCCCCCAAGGTCACGGCGGTGGGGTGGGGGGGGGATGCACGCACACAACCCAGTTCAGGAGGTTTAAGGAGCTGCTGCACATTGGCTGAAGCATGGGATGGCCCCGGCCCATCACCAGCACTCATCTGCAGGGCACTGGGACTCCTCCTGCGCCCAGCAGCAACGTCCCACTTGCCAAGGAGGGCACCGAGAGCCAGCTGGGTCTTGTAGGGATGGATGTTCGTGGATTTTTTCCGGTGCCAGTCAATCCTGGGGGACTGAGACACCAGACCAGCCCCCTCCCTGTGGGCCGCCATGGGTTTTCTCAGCATCCAAAGGGGAGCCGGAGGCATGTTTTGATGGGGCTGGAGACGGCGCAAGCGGGGAGGAGAGCGGTAGCTGCTACGAGCCTCCCTCCTCCTGCATGCACCACCTTAACTTATTTCCTAAAGAAAAAAAGGAATTAAAAAGGAAATAAGGGCCGTGGTTTCTATCCACTCTTTTCTGCGCTGCATAGGCGCTGCGGCTGTGGGACATAGTCCTTCTGGACCCTCGGGTGAGGACGATGCTCTGCTCCTGCGCCCCAGTGAGCGGGTAACCCCTGCACCTGATTTCTTTTGCACCTCATTTGCTTTTATTTTTCCCCACATAGGTGGGTGTAAAAGCCACCTGGGCAGAATAGTTAACGCAGAGCAGAGGATGGTTGGCTGGAGAGAGGCTTCGGTGTGGGGTGTCACCTGGAGCTCCCATTAGACACTTGCCTCCGGGGCTAGCGCTTTTGGGTGCAGGATGCTGAGCAGGGACCATCGCCATCAGAGAAGCCGCCCCTGCTGCCGCCTCCCCTAAAACTCGTAGGCAGAGACGAAGACGGTGATTTTGGACATGTGCTTGGCCTGGAAGACACGGTCCAGGTACTCGGACATGTCCACGTCCACCTGAATGGTCTGGGGACCCTGGAGGCTCTGCACCAGGATGAGCTCCCCGGTCTGCCGGTCCGAGCGCTGCATCACGAAGTGGCCGCGGTTGTTGCCCCCCACGATGCCGAAGCGCAGGCTGTCGGGTCCCGGCCGGCCGGGTGCCGCCGCCGTGGCCATGCGGAAGAGCGGGGTGGGCGTCAGCAGGTTGGAAGGCAAGGGAAGGTAGTGGAAGGAGATGGTTTTGGGTGCTTGGTGGCATGACCGGCTCTCCATCGGGCAGGGGTTGCGCTCACACTGGCTGCAAAGGCAAAAGCCGGGGGGAGCTTTTCAGGGAGCCCCAGCCCCAGGGGTTCGTGTCCCCCACCTCGGTGGCACTGGATCCCGGTGGATGCCATGCACGTGGTTTTGGGACCCTGCCCCTCAAAACCAAAGCAGGGACAGGTTTTATGCCGCGCTGCACTTACAAGGGTGATGTTTTGACGTAGGTGACATTGCCGGCAGGCTGAGGGCACTGGGGGCTGACGCACTGGAAGCCCCCCCCCGTGTTGATGCAGGTGGTCCCCCTCGTGCAGTTATCCTGGGACAGGGCACACTCATCGATGTCTGCAAAACAGGGGCGGGCAGCGGGTCAAGCTCACTGGAGACCTCAGACCGACCCCATTGAGGGGTTCCTTTTGGCAGAGAATAGGCAAAAGCGCTTTGAAATGGTGATCAAAAAAGTATGAGAGTATGGCTGAAAACACCTAAATCACCTAAAATCCCATTCTGCGCCTGCTCTCCTCTCCCTGAGCTCTGCCCTGGGCCAGCAAGGGTTAACGGCAGCACTCTCACAGCAGGAGGGCAGCTTATTTTCCTAACTTTCTGCTAAGCTGTTTGAAAACACCATCTCTCTCTATTTCCTAAACACCTATGTAACCACGAAGATACCTGGCAATAAAATCAGGAGCTCTGAACACAGATATTTGCTGGGAGCATTAGCAAGATGCTACGAAACATGCAGAAATCAGGGAGAAAAGGAGAAAGCATGAGTTTTCTCACCGTGAACTGCAATAATCATCACTTTCTAGCCTCCAAAAATCCCTGGTTTTCAGGAGGAGACATCCATACAAGCAGTTCTGGCCACCCACCATCCCCACCAGCTGCCATTTTGCTTTGCTCCCAACCCACACCCCAACTCCCCCAGTTTTGGAGGAGAAGCTGCCAGCCTCCAAGCCGGCCCCTTGTCACGTAATTCTTGGTTTTGAACGCTATTTGAGCTTCTTCGCAGGGATGCCCCGTTCACAGGGGACAGCTCCACCACCGCAGCGGGGATCCCGTGCTCTTTTTCGGTGAGACGCAACCCCAAAGCACCACGCCTGTTTGCCAGCACTTGAACCTCCATCATCTTCCTCCCCCCCACACCCAGCCCGGGAACCACCTCTCTGTGCAAACCCACCGAGATTTTTGCATGCAGAGATGCTTGCAAACAAAGAGAAAAAAGGGGGAAAAAACTAAAAAAGCAATTGTGCAAGTTGGGAAAAAGCGGTCAGCCTGTGCCTTTCCAGCCCCCCCTCACCTTCGCAGCTCTTGCCGTCACCCAGGAGGACGTACCCACCGGGGCAGGCGCAGCGGTAGGAGCCGGGGAGGTTGACGCAGGCGTGGGCGCAGAGCCGGGGACCCCCCTCCCGCTTGTACACCTCGCACTCGTTGAGGTCTGCGGAGAGACGAGGGGAGCGGGTGCACAGCCGAGACCCCGCAGCCCACCCCGCCGCCGTCGTCGTCGTGCCCCCCCCAGCACGGCTCACCCTGGCAGAGGCCGTTGGCAGCCGTGCCACTCATATGGAAGCCGGGCTCGCAGCTGCAGTGCTGGGTCCGGTCGATCTGGGCACAGCGGGGCTGGCGGCTGAACGCCGGGTCATCTGTGACGCTCCAGGCGGGAGGAGCTGGGGGGGACACCGCGGGATGGGGTTTGAAATGAGGTGGGGTGCCAAAATATGCCCGGGGGGTGGCGGGTCACCCACCTCAGCGGGGGGTCACCCACCCGTCTGCGCCTGGTACTGGCAGGTGGCTCCAGTCCACTGCTGGGGGCAGAGGCACTTGTACTGGTTCAGCCCCTCGAGGCACGTCCCGCCGTTCTGGCAGGGGCTGCTCGAGCACTCGCTGATCTCTGCAAAATAGCCACATTTTTAAATTTTATTTTATTTTATTTTATCTGGGAAGCAAGCCACCGGAGCACTGAGCCACTTTGGTACCCCGCGGCACATCACAACCATGTATTTTGCCAAACTCAGGCACCGGCTGTTTCCCATGCTGTGGCGCTGCCCCGGTGCAACGGTTTGCTCCGACGCAGGGAGCCATCATAGCACTGCTGCCTTTTCCCCTCATCTCTGCTGCTGAGCTGCAGGTGAGGCTCCAGCTGTAATTTCCAGCTTTCCTGGAGGATGAGAAACCCCAAATCACCGGCCATGGGAGCCGCAGCATCCCTGGGATGTTGGCTAGCTGGGACTCAGGGACAGCCACAATACCTCCCCGTTTGGTGGACCCCAATCACCCCCCCATGTTTAAATAAACCCAAATCGCGTCCCACTCTTGCAGATGACATCCCTAGGCAGCCACGGGCACGAAGCAGCCCCAACAACCGCAGCCAGCTGCCCGGCAGCCCTGCCGTAGGCAGCCCAGAGCAGTACCTGCGCAGTGGGGCTCCTGCCCAGTCCAGCTGCCGTTGGCCTGGCACGTCCGTGTGCTGGAGCCCAGGAGCTGGAAGCCCGGGTCACAGGTGAAGTGAACCTCGTGCTCCACCAAATACTTGGTGCCAAACTTCCTCCCATCCACGGGGGCTTGCAGGGCAGGGCAGGAGGCTGGAAAAGCACGGCGGGGGGGGGGGGGGGGCACTGTTCAGGCAGGTTCTTTGGGGGAGCACTGCCTTATCTTTCCTGTCCCCAACTCCACCTGACCCACGGTTCGCTCAGTTCCTCCGAGCCCTCCTCTTTAACTGTTATTTTCCTTGAATATTGGCCTGCTGAGGTTCATCAGTAACATCCAGCCCCCCAGCGAAAGCCCAGCGGGGACGCTGGGGCTGACCATCACTGGCAAAGGGTTTGGTGGCATTTTTGCCACCCCCCTCATGCTCCCAGGACAGGACTGTAGCTCTTTTGCTGGAGACGTGGTTTTCCAGCCCCCTCGCCTCCAGTGCTTTGCCAGGAGCTCTCTGCTTTGCAGCTAAGGGCTTTTGAGCTTCCCCACATCTTACCAGGCTGGAAAGGTGCTCGAATTCACAAGTACAAATTGCCAACATGGATACAGGTTATCTCCATCTATGGAGATGCCCAAACCTCCACCCATCACAGCCCCGAGCGTCCCGACCTGCCCACCCCAGTGTCCTCCGAGACCATAAAAGCAACTGGTGGGACCCAGGGAGGACTCACCGGCCGGCGGCTCAGGGGCGGCTTTGGCCAGGGAGGCGTGCAAGGTGCTCAGCCGGCTCTTCATCACACGGAGGCCCTCGGCAAAGCGCGTCTCCTGCCCCTTCAGCAGTTGCTGCATCTGCCGGATGGCGGCCAGGAGCTGCTGCCTGCTGAGGCAGCTCTGCGGGGACGGGCAGCTGCTCAGCGGGGGGACATCGCTCCGGCCCCCACGCTGCCGTGCCACCCGGGACCCAACCTGCTGCACGCAGCCTGCCCCGGCCACGGAGGAGCAGGAGCTCTGCAGCATCAAAGGTCCCCTGAGATAGCTGATTTTATATTTTTTTACCCCATTTACCCAGATGCAGGAGGTTTTTTAGCCTGTACAAGAAGTCCTTAGCTCAGGCATGCTCTCCTACATCTAAATGGGTAACGCAGCGCTACAAGCAGGGCTGTAATCACTTTGTTAGCCCTGGGAGAGATGCCATAACTCATGTTTCATCCTGCTGGAGCTAGAGCCCTGTCCCACTTCCACATTACAAAATAAGAGGAAAACAGCTGTCTTGTGAGTTCTGCCGGGGCCAGGAACACTGGTGGGACTCCTGCCTGCAAACCGATCGCTACCACGGGACTGACTCATGCAGGAGATGGGCATCGTTATTATAGGTTTCCTGTGGAATTGACTTCAAACTGAAGAAAAAGAGCAAGGGCTGAGCAAAGCCAAGCCGGTTTTAGAGCTCAGAGATTTGCAGGGCCCATGGGGGAGAGAGCGCACAGGGTCTGGTCTGGGCGGCACGAGGCTGGGGGCAAACGAGCTCCAGGAAAGCGAGCAGAGCTGCTGGGCACTGGCCCACCTGGCCCAAGGGATTTCTTTCTCTCCCCGGCCACGCTGTGCAGGGGTGAAGTTATTCTCGTTTCCAAATAGCTACTGAGGGTTTACAAAGAAGAAAGAAAAGCCAGCTCCAAGCGGCTGTGCTCTCCTCTGCTTCCCTCGGGGCAGTTTTGGGGGGTCAGGGGCTGCCGGCGGGGATGAGCCAGTCTGCGCCTGCAGCTCTGGGGTGCCCTGCGCCGAGAGGAAGGCAGGCAAAAGCAAATAGATGCCTGGCATGTAGCTCGCTTTAATAAACAGCTCTTTGTTAGCGCCGGTTTTAACTTCAAGAGCCAGCGTGAGCTCCCGGCGGGATGCTGAACCGTAGCAAACCCCCGCTCTCCCGTAAAACCGGGAGGATTCTTTGCTCCCGGTGTACTCGGTGGCGACTTCAGGTGTGGGGGAAGAAGGAAGAAAAGAGCCCAGAAGAAACCGGGCCCGGTTTAAGCCCTGCTTAAGCTCCCCCCGCCCCAGTCCCCCGGCTTTGCCCACCTGTTTGCTGGGGCCAGGGCAGGAGCGCGGTCTGCACAGCCCGACGCTAAGGGCGGACAGACCCACGGCGCACCGGCCTTGGGGAGGGGGGCAGGAAAGAGGAGACCTTGCCCCCCTCGAGAAACCTTTCCGAGGGGTTCCCCCCCAGCCCCCCCCCTCACCTGGGGCGCCGGCGCCGCCGGGAGCAGCAGGAGCAGCAGCAGCGGCAGCGGCGGCAGCAGCAGCAGCAGCGGGAGGCGGCACCGCTCCCCCGGCATGGTCCGGCGGCCGGCGCGGCTTCTCGTCCGCCGAGGAAGGGCTCTCCCGGGCGCCGGCAGCCA